TTCAGGGCAGTCTGCTGGATGGTTTTCAAAATGCTTTGGCAGTTTGACTCATCTATATACAGAGGCTGGGAGGAAAAAACAACACAAAGAATGTCACTCTGCTGGAGGCGAGGATTTTGAGTTGTGCCAACACATCCATGAACTGGAGCAGGATGAAGTTGCAGCTCTTTTCTATTTGCTTCCTTGTTAGAAACAGACAATTCATTTATGCATTGAGGTATGGAAGAACTTAAGTGGAACAACACGTTATAGTGACTATAATTTAAGAAATGTGTCTCGTACCTCCCTAGGGAAGGGACTGGTCATTATTTTGCAGCAGCTTTGACCTATGCAGCTTTGAAGCCCTCCTGCAACACAGATGCCAGATAATCTGGGCAGCTCTGAGCAGTCTTTCTCTTCCCGTTGAATATATGTTAATCCTTCTGCTTGATGGGGGTACTTGTCTTTGGAAGAAGAGATCTGACTTTATTAAAAATGATAGTGGTGCATTTAATCTCTCACAACAACCCTGAGATAGTTACTTTGGTGTGTTTGTGTGTGCTGCGTAATGGAAGAGATTTTTTATGTTCGCAGCTGCTGTTGATTTCCCCCACCCATACAAGAAAAATTATACTATGAGTTAAGACATTTCCTAATCCTTAGTATGGTATCCCTTCTTCTCTTGTCGTGTGGGTGCTATTTGTAAGGCTGCTTTCAGCTTCTCCCTAAGAAAAGTCACAGTTTATATTTCATATTGCTAACTGCGTTCTCCCTATCTCACATTCTCCATACATGTATAACTTGAGACCTTCTTAGATAGATAAGCACAAAAGACTCTTTTCTGTTTTTACCTGGTTGTCTGAAACTCCCAAGTATGCAGAAGCTTCTGTTGTTTGTTGCCCCAAAAATATGAGTCTTCAGAGTAAAAGCCTGTAGTATGGTCTGATACCTCAAAACGTTCTTCTTTAACACTTTTTACCCCTTCAGTAGCTACATTGTTCCTTTTTTTTTCTGGGGGGGGGGGTGGGTGTCTTTAATTACCAGTGCACCCTATACACAAAAGACAGCAAATACAGCAGCATATAAAAACAAGCTTGTAAAAAAATAAGCCATAAACCTCTTCCTTGCAACTCTTCCAAACCAAATACTCTCTCCCTAACCCTTTTTATATACAGCTGAACTAGAGCTGCTTAAGTTCACCTGGGGTCATACTTAGGGTTTCAGCTGAATAACCCTGTGCTGTCAGGATGGACTTGGAGCCAGAGAGTTGGGGCATAAGCATGACATTGTTAGGAACCCTGAGATCTCCAAGTTTGTGCAGAACTTGCTTTCTTACTAATGCACTGATGTTCTCATTCTGAGGTTGTCTTTAATTTCCACAATATCAGGGTCATACTATTTAAGTTTACATGGTTAGGTCTGTAGTGGAGAGCAAGTTTTAGCAGGGGTTAACTGATTCAGAGAACTCAGTGTAGGTCCCTGAAGACTGAGCAAAAATAGGTTGGGATTTTTGGATACTGGTTTAGTTCCAGGACAAGCAGAGGGGGCGATGGGAACGATTGGAGTTGGGAACCCAGGCAGAATTCATTTTTGCTTCACAAAAAAAAAACCAAAAATGTGGTGTCTTTTAAGTCTTGCTCGATGTTATGCAGTTAAAAAAAAAAAAAAAAGAAAAAGAAATAAAGTATATTTGTTTTGTTTTCAGTTTTCTGTAACTGTGGAAATGACACTGATGCTCGTTTGAGTCAATACGATTTCAAAATAATTACAAAGTGACTAATACCTGAAAAATCTGCATGCCGTTTGACTCGCAGTTCAGGGCTTGTTTCATTGGAAGGCCTTTGACTGCCACAAATTGCTTTCAATTGGCAGAGCACTTCTTATAACAAGCAATATTTCAGCATAATTCAATTGGGTTCCCTGCCAAGGAGGAAATTGTAATCCTGAAGCTTTTTGATGGCGTCACCTGGTTGGTGGTCATCTCTTGGCCTGTGGGCAGGTATGGCTGAGTGTGGGGTGACTCAGATGGTCCAACCACCACAGTTTTTTAAATACTTCCTCACCAGGCCCTGGGATGTTTGTCCAGCTTCTGCCCCAGTGTGAGCAGTGAAGGATCTGGCAATGAGAATGCCAAGCCCTGCTCTGGTTTCCAGCGAGGCTGCTTGGCAGCTGGAGGAGACCGCAGCTGCTTCAAGGCTTTGAATTGATGTGTGTGTGACAGCAAGGACCCCTGGCTGGACTGAACCTTCCTGAGCTGTTAGTCATCTGAGCCTGGCTTGCGATGAAACAGCGAGCAGAAGCACTAACAATCTCCCGCTTGCTTTTTGAGCTAGAAATGCACCTTGAGAAGCCCATAGGAAACAACCACAGCCAAAGCTTTTTGTCAACAGTATGCGGGGCAAGCAGGAGCTTCAGTGTGCAGAAACTGAAATTTAAAGCTCCCTGTGTCTGATACTAACATGGTATCACGCTGTGGAAAACAAGAATGCAAAGGACTTGGTAAGCACAGCAAGTTTCACAAAGCGCTCACCCAAATGCTGCTGCTGGGTATTGGACAGCAAAGTTTGCGATGTTCTAAGTCCAGATGTGGTAGAAGTACGGATTGTTCTAAGATGTGACAGATTAAAAAGCAAAGTGGAGACCCATCCTAGGTCAGTTCGAAGTCTTAAAGATCAAAAAACCTCCCTTCTGCCATAAACCCTTAATCCTTTGTTGGTATTCTGCTTGATTTTCACTGAGCTTTTAGGTTTCCCCTTGTAATCTGCAGTATGCCTTAAAGATGAAATAAATATTGCCATGTAACAAAATCTCATTTTCTGTTAAAGGATCATTGCAGGTGGCCCTGTGACAGTGATGTTACAGCGTGGCTTGCTGCAAAACTAGCTTGCTACTTTTTGACATGGACAGGCTCACTCTGTTTAAGCTGGGTCTGAAACGCTGGGACTGTGGGTTTTTTGATTCTGGTCTCTTATCACATGAAATTTGTATCAAGTAGTACCTTAGGTAGCACACTTGATGCTCCTCGAGGAAATTACTTTTCTACAAAGTGTGATAGTGTTGCAATGTGTTTCCTCGCAGGCGTTGGACCTGGGACCATGTTCTTTGCAGCGATTCATGGCTCTGCTGGATGGCTCTGGTCAGTGCCAGGGGTCTAGCAAAACCCAGGAAGGGCTGTGTGGAGACATGTGGAATGTGGATTAGTTTCATATGTGCCTAAGAGCAAGGATGCCCAGGAGAAAAGCTGAAATAGGGCTTTGGTGGCTCTCAGCAGGGGCTGAGAGGAATCATTTCATGGGTCCAGGGCTGCTCTTACTTCTGCACATATTTAACAGGGAAGATAAATCCAGCAAACCCCAAGCATTGGAGATTTAGTGTTCCCAAAGCATGTAACTGTGTTGGGAAGTACCACTTCTGATTTTGGAGTTCTGAAACATGGATCAAAGGATCTCAGGTATAATCCTGTATCCTTAAATGATCTTTTCATTCAGCACCCTGAACTGAATTGCTGCAGTTGAGCAGCGTGAGGGCAGAATCCTCTTACCCTGTGGCTTTCCTCGCCTTATGACTTCACCTGTAAATAGAAGTTGTCTATAATTAGATGTGGGACTCGTATCTGCCCTGTGCTTGCATCAGGGAGCCTTAATTCTGTGTGAATGGAATTTCCTTGCGTGTTTGTCAGGGAGGGAAGCACCAGACCTGTAACTGAGACCCTTCTCAGGGGACAGCCCTGACAATTCCTGCTCCTCTGCAATGCCCAAACCCTGTTTTGGTGATCTGTATCAGTTGGAAGAAACTCAGTACTTGAATCTCATAAAGGGGACTTGTGATCTTTGTTCAGGACAAGACGAAAAAAAATAATAAATCCCCTGAACTGGTTCCCCAAATTCTTCATAATTTTCTGTCTTGTCAATTCAGCAAACCGAATGAGTTTTCACTCATTATTCACAGCTATTTCACTATTCACAGCTATTGCAGCCAGTTGTAGTACAGATGTATGTATGAGGAGAAAAAAACCCATCCTGTAAGCCAGCTGCTTTGGATTTGTATCAAATTGAGGGCAGGTATTTCATGTGCCTGGGGAGGAAAAAACCTGTGAACATCAAGTTCAGCTAACCTTATGTTTTTAAACCAAACAGCCCCTCTTCCTAAGCCTTTCTCTGAGGGAGGTATGGAAGGAAACTTCTCCCCATGCCATCTGGAAGGTGTATGTTTTTTGAGTGGGACAACAAAGCTCTCTTCTGACCAGAATGCATGCATCTGATATTAAAATATATCCATGCATCTGATACTACAGTTTGTGTCTGGGCTGAAGCCCTGTACAATAACAGCTAATGAGAGTTTTACCTGAAGTCGTTTTAGGTCTCCTAGGTCATTAGGAGTAAAAAGGTCTTGACTGATACTGAGCATGAAAAAGCACAAAGCAGAGAAGATAGCCAGTTAATGGAAAAATTGAGGTAATTCCCCTCCAGACTGCAGTTTCGAGTCTTGTATAAATAGGACTTTGTATGTTGAAAATAATTACTGTAAAAGCAAAGGGAAGAGCCTTCTCTTCAATCGCTGGTTCCCTGTGAAAACTCCAGGAGGGAGTAACCCATCTGCTTTTGCCAGGAGCAATGAAATGCTGTCATCTTGTCTGCAGGTTCTGCATGCAGCAAATAACTCAGCAATGATGTAGGTTATGCTTCAGTCTGGGAGAGAAACTGGGAAATCCAGAAAGTCTGCACTGGGGCAGTACAAGATAACGCTGTACATGACTGTAGAAACCCAAACTTTGCAGAAATAAATGCCCTTTTCCATTATGAGCCCGTATTGTGCAAAGGTCTGAGGACCTGCTTAACTCCATGAGGTAGGAGCAGTTGGGCTGGTGTTAGCGTAATACTTATTGTACAGAAACTCCAGGGCATGTCCAGGGACAATTTCCAGGTTATTCTCCAATTACTGGTGAAGGTAAGCTCCTGGGGGGCTAGAAATGAAGGAATGTTGTGGAATGGCAGACAGTAATGTTTTTGATGGTCTTTCAGACTAACAGGGATGCCAAAGGAAAAATATGATCCTCCAGATCCTCGCAGAATTTACACCATCATGTCAGCAGAAGAGGTAGCCAATGGGAAGAAGTCACACTGGGCTGAGTTAGAGATCTCGGGTGAGTTGAGTTGGTTTTGAATTTTGGTTCAGTGGGGTTGTTGGTGCCCCAGAATCGTACCGGGCACTTTCAGGTAGGGGATCCTATTGGGAAAAGAGTTTTACTGAGCTGGGGGAGGAGGAGTAGTAGCTCACTAAACAGTTGGGTCTGAGCTTGGCTGGCTTATATTCAGCCCAGTTCATTTAAAACAGCAGCTCAGATTGGACATGAGTTTTTGGGTAGCGCATCTGCTTCCCTAGAACTGTACCTCTGTCCTTTTAACTAGGAGGGTTAGATAATTATTTAAAGTCTGCTTGGAGAGAAGATACACAAAGGTATCTCCTGCAAGCGTCACTCAGTGATCCAGCAAAGTGATAGAATATCTGATGGTTTAAGAGCACAAACCTGACTGAAGAGGCGATTCTTTACTTTTCTTTTTTAGGTAGAGTGCGGAGTTTAAGTACATCACTTTGGTCGCTGACACACTTGACTGCTCTGCATCTCAATGACAACAATCTTACTCGCATTCCACCTGATATTGCCAAGCTTCACAATCTGGTTTACCTGAATCTGTCATCCAACAAACTCAGAAGTTTACCAGCAGAACTAGGAAACATGGTATCTCTCAGGTGAGAGAAATTATTCTGGTTAACTTTTCAAAAATCTATATTCTGGGATTGGGACCAAGAATTTTATCTTCCTTTTCATTCTTCAAATAATTCAGGATGGGTGCAAAGCTTCAGTTCTAATAATTACTGTAGGGTTCATTACCCTTCTTTACTGGTCTCTACAGGTGCATGTCTGTAAGCTATGTGGTTTCTTCTCTGAAACATTCATTGAGACTTGATACTTGCTTGCTGTTTAAATTCTTCCTGATTCAATTTTGGGGTTTTTGTGGTTTTTATGGGTTTTTTTGGTCATGCTTTGAAATGGGAAGATTGGCATATTTTTCCATAACACACAAAAAAAATCAGGGTGCAAAGTGTCATCTTTGAAGACGTACTTATGAAGTGAAACTCACCAAAAGTTTTGTTTTTTTTGCATTTGCTGCAGGGAATTGTTTTTAAATAACAATCTGTTACGGGTTTTGCCTTATGAACTTGGACGGCTCTTCCAGCTACAAACCCTAGGTTTGAAAGGTGAGTGTGTTCTTTGCAATTAAATATTCCTAGGAGTTCTCTTGAATAACTGAGGGGGCTGCACTCAAAATCTTTGTGTATTACCCCAGCATTTTGTTAGAGTTTATTTGAGATACTAAGCTTGTAGCAAAAGCCAGTTTGGAAAAGGATGCTTTTTTAATGCTGTCAAACTTCCTTATGAGGCTATTTCATATCTGTAGATAGGTAAATAAACCCTTTAACCTACTGTATTATTACGTGAGTCAAAAGAAAAAAGTCTGTGCCAGCTATTTCTGTAGCATCTGTTACTGTGGTACTCTACAGTTACAAGTTAAGCAACCTGAATATCTTCTGAGTCAGTTTGTCTCTTCTCATTATGGAGATTTTCTTTGGTTGGAAAGCCTTGAGAAAGTCAAGCAGCTAATCACCCAGTTGTTGTTTTATGCTGTTGGCAGGCAATCCTTTATCACAAGATATTCTCAGCCTCTACCAGGACCCAGACGGAACTCGGAAGCTACTGAACTACATGCTTGACAATCTAGCAGGTGACAGCCTTAGAGCTCTGATTGACATAAGTGGTTTAAAAGCATGCATTTCTGACAGCATTTCCTGCTAAAACAAGAATCTGAACCACTGAAGGCAGAGTGTTTTCTAACTGCTTTTGCATTTGTCGAGTGGTTGTAGTTGTACACACAAACACACACTGTAGAGGAGGTCGAATTATATTGTCCAGACTTTTCTCATGTTACCGTATTACATCCAGTTGTTCCCACTGTTCTATTTGAAACCCTTCAGTTACCAACAAAACTGCAAGATCTTTCTGGCTGAAGCCATTTTGATACTTTCCACTAGAAATTATAATCCAAATGCAAGCAGAATATGCAATTTAAATATCAAAATACCAAAGTGATTAAGAATATCCAGTATCTGACTTGAATCCTGTGTTGTGGTTCTGTAACTGAGTTTTCTGGTTTGCCTCTTGATGTCTAATAGGTTAAAACACTGCAGGAATGATGGATATAGGGTGAGGTTCTTGGAGAAGTGTGTCTGAATCACTACAGGATTTACCCCTCCTTCTTCAGCAATATATTCAAGATGGAGGAGTACATTGGTGGTGCTTCTAGATTAGAAAGCAAGTGACAAAAACAGTGATGAACCTTAAAACTGACAAATTTGCCTTTACTATAGGTAGTTATTTGCCCTTTACATTATTGTTGCCTGCCCTGGAGTATAAAAAGATTCAGGGAGTTGGGGTTGCGAAGCACAGTATGGAACATTATTGTTCACTTGTCATTTTGACTTATAAATTGTAACTTACAAATATAAACCCTGAGTTAATCACTGGTTTCTATTTTTTTTTTATAGTTCATCCTGAGCAGCTGCCTCCAAGGCCATGGATTACTTTAAAAGAGCGAGACCAAATTCTGCCCTCAGGTAAATCTGCGGTTCTTTTCCCTATGTTCACACAGTGATGCACTGCGAAACTTTTATTTGGATTTATTTTCAGAGAAGTCTTCTGCCTTACACGGAGCAGGTTGAAAATAGCAATTTGTGTTGATTGGTACTAAAATGATTAACATATGGCTATGCTGTACATACCAGTTTTGTAATTTGAATGGGATGCCGGTCATTTCTTTTCAATTTTAGGCTTTTTTTCACACTTGTTCCAGCCACTGATGCCCAAGCAAAAGAGCTTTTTTTAAAAGAAATTCATTTCTCAGAAGTGATAACTGTAAAATAACGGTGTACAAATGCTGTGTCCACGCTCAGGCTAACCGAAGTGAGACTTTGGGAAATGCCTATCTGCAAGTAAACACGCGGAGTGCCTGGGGCTGAAGTCAGTGTAGTGCCCTCTATTGTTGCTTTTGGTAAAGTGCAAGAGGCAGCATTTCTTCAGGCTGTCCCAAGTCCAGCGGCTTTCCCTCCCCTGCTCGTCCTGAATATAACCAACCAGAAAAAAAACAGGAAGAAATGGAAAATGCCAGAAGTCCTGTAAACCACCACCAGATTAAGTTCGGTATTTCTGTTCAGATTCCTCCCTAAGTCAATGTCTCAGAGGAGTTTTATAATTTTCTTTTTATTTTTATAATCAAACTTTGTGAGCACAAGTAGAATTCAGAGGTCATTAGGAAACACAGCATTAGGCAATTGAGCTGTGGAATATTTAATAGTAAAAATTGTACCAATAACATTGCTTGTTGTTATAAAATTAAACCTGACAGCAGAAATCTTCTGTGACTATGAGTATGAAAAAGTACCTCTGTGGGATAGCCTCATAGTAAAACCTCACTTCTTTCTGTGCAGATTTGAACAGTCTTTTCCAGTGGCATGGTGTTACGATGTTGCATTTACCCATCTTTTTTAATCTTGGTGTAAAACCTAAGGGAGTTCAGAAGCTTGTGTGTGAAAGAAGTGTGTTTGAAGCTGAATGATCTGATGAGCTGCATGCTGACTTTTCTTTTTTCAAATGCAACCAAATAATTTATTAGGTGCTTGCTGATGGATGAATTCATTTTTTCTCTTCCCTGCCTTCACCCAGACATTTCTCTCCCTCTTAGGCTTGATAGATACAACTTAGAAATGTTTTACAGGTGCTAAGGATGTAGTACAAATGTTTTGAAATCAAACTGCCTAAAACTGAAGCATTCTAAAGCAGCATTTCTGTCTGATTTCTTACCGAAGTGAGAGGCTGTTCCTAATTGTTGCCTATATCTAGATCTCCCCCATCCCCACAGGTAACCAAGAATCGACAGCAAAATAGGATTGCATTACTTTGTAATGCCCACAACACCTTCTCCTTTTGGAAGTAATGCTGATTTTTTTTTTCAGGGAGAGTTTAGCCTTGTTTGGTAAATGCTGGCTCATAAAATGCTCAGTAGAATAAGCCCACTGACTTGTGTTCAGCAGGCGCTCCAGAATAGACCATGTAAGATCCAATATTTTGGCTTGAATAAGTTCAGCATTTGTAATCTTTAGAGGCTGATAACCTTTCCCTTTTCTTCTTTCCTTCCAGCTTCATTCACAGTTATGTGTTACAATGTGCTGTGTGATAAATATGCCACCCGGCAGCTCTATGGCTACTGCCCATCTTGGGCACTCAACTGGGAGTATAGAAAAAAGGGAATCATGGAAGAAATCGTCAATTGTGATGCAGATATTATTAGTCTTCAGGTAATTGGAAAATAACTTTATTTTTCATCAGAAACAGAAAACATTAACGTCCGCTCTTAGAATGAAATGCTTTCTTGAGAACATCATGCTCGTCTGCTTGCTAACAAATTTGGGGGCTTACCCATACAAGCTGTGTGCAGAGATCCTTGTTTGTGCATTGGCTTGTGTTTTATGAAATGAGACAAAGCAAGTGAGATAAAATTAGCTAAATTAGTAGGTAATCTGTATTGGAAGATCTGGGTCTTTTCCTGCTCAGATAAGCATCCTAAATATTCTCCCTCTGGGTATATAGGGTTTACTGCAGAAGGGGAGAATGAAAATGATATATTCCCAAATCCTGGTCCATTCCTGCTTGACATAGAAGTTAAAATCTCAAGAATACTCTCACTGGTAAACAAAGGGACTCTTATGGTCACAGTTAAATATCAAGTGTTATTGGCACATGTATCCTGCTGTGTCATTAGAAATATATTGCCAGTGTTTAGAACAGTTGAATGCTTCTGCCTTTAAACTGTTCTTTCATTTTTTAAGCAAGTTCTGATAGGCAAAAATCTTGCTCAAGAAGAGAGTAGTTACCTTTGTCTGAAAACCTCAAGAGATTAACCTCTAAAATCCTCTTGGAGATCAAATTTTGCTACAGAGAAAATGTATTGTTACAGAGCAGCAAGAGACCCTTGTGTGAAATAAATTACATATTAATTGCTGCTGGATACTTGTCAACCTCTCAGAAGTTTTGACCTAGGATGGTACCCGTGTTCAGATGTCAAAAATACCAGGTGTAATCTATTGTTATTCAAAATAAACCTGCCACTTTCCCTTCTGGGGGAATTCGAGGATATGCAGGAATGTAAATGTGTTTCTGGTAGGCCATTAATCTAGGAAGTGACATGATTTGTGCAAACAGAACCTTTTTGCTTTGATGAGAGCTGCTGACTGCAAGCCAAGGCAGGCACAAGTTGCCGTACAGAAATAGGAATGGTTTGTTTGACTGTGTTAGCCTAAGGTATTTGTGTTTAATTCCAGGAAGTGGAAACAGAGCAATACTTCACCCTTTTTCTGCCAGCCTTGAAAGAACGAGGATATGATGGATTTTTTTCTCCAAAGTCACGTGCCAAAATCATGTCTGAGCAGGAGAAAAAGCATGTGGACGGCTGTGCAATATTCTTCAAAACTGAAAAGTAAGGGGCAGAAACAGCTTTTAAAAAATACATTAAAACCAGCTTGATTTAGGTCTGAATGTTTTCCCCAGGGCACGTGGTAGCTGAAGGACTGTAAACCAAAATAGAAAGTTCATGACAAAGAATGAGCCTCCCTTCTTTTCTGCTGCTTTGTTTGCAACACAGCCCTTCCATTCTTTTCAGAGATGAACAAAAATACTTCTTCAGAAACCAGGGAAGTTGCAGGAGAGCTGGTACAAGTGAAAACTTGCATGTTTATGTACACATTTTTTGACAGATCTAATAAATACCTTCCGTACAAACTTCTGCCTTGCTTGACAGCAGTTTCATCCCTCTAAGAGTAAAGATCTAGAAGCTGTGCTTTCTTGATCATCAGGTATTAAAAGATGTGTTACTGCAAAAGGATCACAGAATATTCTCTGCTGTATGAATCAAGATGTTGTTGAATACCTGATCCAAAAAGTTCTGCTACACTAAAAGCATCAAACTATTGGGAAGGGAGGAAAAGTGGTGGCATTCACACTTCTCGTCTGTGTAAACTGCTCACAGGTTGTACCACACTGAGTATCCCTCTGAATACTACCTCAAAACAGTTTCAGTAATTAGAATGGAAGTTTTGCAAAGGCTTTCAGAGTTTTCACTTCTTCCAGAAACAAAAATAAACTTTTCAGATCATGTATAAAACCAATTTGACTGGGTTTGACTGGGAAGTCTGTGAAAACAAACAGCTGATGTTTTTCAAACCTTGAAACTAACAAGGGTATATAGAGAACTGATTATTATGCTTTGGCTCTTACATGTGAGAACAGAAGACATAACACTCATTTTCTCAGAGCACAAACAGAAAAAGACCCCAACTTTCAATAGGTAGCCTTCAGTTTGTCCTAAAACAAGGCACTTTGGGGCATCCTAAGGCTGGAAGGGAATGAAAAACCAAGTTCACAAAACTAATGCTGATAGCTGGTGGTTTCAAAGAAGCTGTTTTTCCACAATGCATTTGCCCGTAGTAAAAGGCAAGCCTTTAATTACCATCTCTTCTTAATTTTTTTGCCTAGAACACTCCAGAAGAGGTGCAATAACCTCTGACATTGCTCTGAACAGTCCTCTTGGAGTGCTATGCTGAAACAAGTAAACAGTTCCTAAACCCCAGGTATCTCATCTCCTGTGAGAGTATCTTGCTTGCCAGATGAAGAGCTCTATCCTGACTGGGGGAATATTTCTTAGAACTGTTTTCACTTTTATAAAATGAGCAGACAAAAGAAATGTGCCTCACCTCGTGCCTCTAGGCTCTCTCCTTAGACATGGTATACTGGAGTGCAGAGAGGAACCACATCTTTTCATGTAGCTGTACATCAGACGTGTTCACATGTGATTCTCTTTGTTTAATCAGGTTTACACTAGTGCAGAAGCATACAGTGGAGTTCAACCAAGTGGCAATGGCTAACTCTGAAGGTTCAGAAGCTATGTTAAACAGAGTGATGACAAAGGACAACATCGGAGTTGCCGTGGTGTTAGAGGTGCACAAAGAACTATTTGGAGCAAGTGAGTATGACCATGGTTCTCTCATTGATAACTCAAACCACATAAAGGCATGAGTTATTCCTAAATAATAGAGCTCTCAAGAATATTATTGCCATTGCTGATGGTAACCAAATACTTATGGATGAGCAAATGCTGTTTACTGTATGATAGCCCATCAGTGGGTAAGACAGGACACACACAACATGATTTTCTAGTCCACAGCCAGATACCCAGCATTTAGCTTTCTCCTTTCAAGCTTTTGTCCCTGCTTTCTTCCTCTGTTAATTTCTACTTGAAGAATTAAGCTTTTCCAAGTTGAATGTGTTTGTATGCATGGGCTCTTACCAGTCATTATCAATAATGTTCAACTTCTGTTTTCAACTCTTTTTTTTTTCCCTTGGTTGAATCCCCCCCCCCAGTGACTGTAAGACAGTGCTAATGTACTGGCGCAGAAGAATGAGATTATCAGATATCTTTTCATGCCACTTGATTGACTGGCTGTCACATTTTCATTTAAGTTTGATCAGATGCAGTAGACAATTTCAACGTGCTTATAATTGCCACCCTGCTCTGTCTGCGTGTCTGGGTGTTTTTTTGATGGCTTGTTGCCAGCATAGCCTTCAAAGGAGCAGAATGTCTGAATTGCAGGAATGGAAGGAACTGCCTGTGGCTTTATGCCCCATCTTTCAGAGTACTGTTTCTCGGATAAATAGTAAAAGCAGCTACAGTGTTAAGCAGCAGCCAGGTCTGCACTGTATTTAAGCATTAACATTTAATAAGCAGGTTTGAGGTTTTTTCCAAGGGAACAATTTGCTGTACTGTGGAAGCTAAGAGTTAGGAAACTCCCTATTGCCTTTAATATTGAATAGTTGTGCAAGGTCAAGTGATAGCCACTTGAGGAGTAGATAAGTAATGCAACTGTAAGAGTTTCAGATTATGCTGGCTGTTTCTTTCCTATATTGGACAGACTTAGTCACATACTGATTTAGAAAGGAGTAGTGGTTCAGGTATTGCCTCTTTTTCCAGCAATAAAAATACATCCATTGTTGGTGTGTCTGACTTGGAGTCCTTTGTAGCTAGATCCTGAATGTTAACAGGAAGGAATCTGCTAGATTCCCACAGTCAGCCTTTCACTGATAGAAACGTCTTTGTTTATTCAGGTATGAAATCACTTCATGTGGACAAACAGCTGCTTATTGTGGCCAATGCCCACATGCACTGGGACCCTGAATACTCAGATGTGAAACTCATTCAGACAATGATGTTTGTCTCAGAACTTAAAAATATCCTCGAGAAAGCCTCAAGCAGGCCCAGTAGTCCAACAGCAGATCCTAACTCTATCCCTCTGGTGCTCTGTGCAGATCTCAACTCATTACCTGATTCAGGTAAGACTGGTTTTGGCTTAATTTTTAACTTACCCTCTTAGAACGGTTGAATCCTCTTTTCCTCTGAGGGCAGTAGTGTGGTTTGCACTTCCCTGGATGAAAGCTTTAGTAGCAGCAGCTGTCTTTTGAAAGCTGGCTGAAGGGAATTCTAGTCTTACGATTGCGCAGGCTGCTTGTCACAATCAGCTGTACATTCTAGAAAAATTGGCTGTGCCTATAAGGAGGTAGAAAAGCACAGATAGATCCTAATTATATCATTAAATAAGTACCCATGCCTTGAGCAGCAGAAATAAGTAGGAAAGTTGGGAGTTCCTGATGGAAGATGAACATTTTCTAAGGAGATAGGTTTGCTTTCATAATTACAACATGCAATACTTAGTGGCTTGTATAAGTAGAAAATCTGTCTCTTTAGCACCCTGCCACATGCACACTACAATACATGTACTAAGGGTCTATTGTAATCTGCAAAAAACAGTGTCAAAGCCACTGGAGAGCCTCAGTTCCCTGTCTGTATGTCAGAAAGTTGGGTATGGACGACACAGCTGCTGTGTAGGTTTTGCTTTAGATGAATGCTCTTCTCTGATCTCATGGTGTGTCTTACTGGTGTCTTGGGTTTAACTGCGAGGCCAGCATTCCCTGACTGTCATATTTTAAAGGAACTCCCTGAATCCTTTCCTTTGCAAACAGGTGTAGTGGAATACTTAAGCAATGGCATAGTAGCTGACAACCACAAGGACTTCAAGGAGTTGCGTTACAATGAGTGTCTCATGAACTTCAGTGGCAATGGAAAAAACGGGGCTTCTGAAGGAAGAATCACGCATGGCTTCCAGCTCAAGAGCGCCTATGAAAACAACCTGATGCCTTACACCAATTACACTTTTGATTTCAAAGTAAGCAGCGATTTTTCTGAAATGGCAGACATTGACCTGGTCTCTCCAGGATGCTGTCTTAAATTTCTGGCCATTGGCTGTCTTTCCCTCTGTTCCTGTAAGTGCTTCATCACTTGGTTCCTCCACTTGCTGGACACTTTTCCTACCACGCACAAATCCTTGATTTGCTGGCATTTTTAAGCTTCTGACCTGGCTCTGGCCAGTGACTTAATGAGAATGGATGCAGCGCTTGGAATGGGAAATGCTGCGTGCGTTTCTTACCTTAATTGCAGTGTTGTGCCTCTTCCCAAGGATAGCAGCCAGAAGCCAGTCGAGTTCAGGTTGCCAGAAGCAAGGTCTGTTCTCACTGTCATGTTTCTCTTTCTCCCTAGGGTGTGATTGACTACATTTTCTATTCCAACACTCACATGAACGTGCTTGGTGTCCTGGGGCCTTTGGACCCTCAGTGGCTGGTTGACAACAACATCACTGGGTGTCCACACCCTCACATCCCTTCAGACCACTTCTCACTGTTAACACAACTCGAACTCCATCCTCCGCTCCTGCCTCTTGTCAACGGTGTGCACTTGCCTAACAGGAGGTAGTGGAGCCCTGCCCCTTTGAGGGCAAGGACCTGTTGTTATGGACCTGTACAGTTGTAAATCAAAGTATATAGGAGTAAAGTATGGCCAACCTTAAGCTGCTTCTTCAAGCTCCTTTCCTTATGTGTTTGATATGAGATTTTGCACATTTTGGTGCATATTGGTATCATTTGGCACTAGGGCTGGAACCAAAGTATTATTCCCTTTCCAAATTCTTAACTTAATTTTTCTTTTTTTTTTTTTAAACTGGCAAGCTTTTCCTTTTCAGTAGGAAGCTGCACTTAGAAATGGACAAATGAGATTAAAACCTTGCATATTAACGTATTTCAGGATAGTGCTTTTTTTCCAGAACGTGGCAAAATGAGCCAACCTTTTAGGAGAAAGAAAGAATAAAATAGAAATGCTTGTTTTGTAGGAAAAATATTAGAAATGCTGTTTGTTTGAACCCAAAATGAGGACTGAACTCTGCATCCAAAACAAATTTTGCACATTAGCAAAGCACTTAATGACCTGACTATAAATGATGAGCAGTGTGGCACTGCTCCTCATCTAACTAATATTAGAAAACCAAAGATATCTTAATATCTATGATAAAATTTGAGGTCTAAATTCTCCTGATGTCATTTCATTTGCAACAAAATTCCCAGCAAACCTACGTCTCGTAGGTGAGCATTGAACACTGGGCAGATCCTATGGGGAGTCTTTTCCAGAGCTCTGCAGAACTGGGTCCTTCCTGGGGTGGATATGCAAGGATCCAGAGGAAAACTGGATCTCTGCTTTGGCAAGCCGGGGAGACACACTCTTCAGCAGCGCAGTTTGGGAGTAGGACTTAGGTTGAGAAATTGCACTTGAAGCCAGCCGTTGGGGTGCTGGGTGAATAAAGAAGTTGCAAATTTATCCCGAGTTCCCTTTTCCCAGAAAGGAAACTTGGGATTAAGTGGTTAAGCATAGGGTACAGGAAAAAACTGCTGGAAACAATCTTCCTTCTGTCTCCAAAGGGCACATGGAGTAGCCATTGGCATGGTTTTTTTCTTGGGGGAGCGAGTGGGAGCCATAGTCATTCCTTGGATTGTTTTTCCTGACCCTAGTTGCCAAATATCCATCCCACTTTTTTAAATAACCTTTCTCTTTTGTTGTCAGTCAGGGTTGAATTAAAAAGCTGCTGGTTCATTCCCAAATGTTGATGCTCTTTGGGTGTGTTGGAAATCTCTTTTTTTTCTCCCTTTTCTGCTCTAGGTGGCCAGTTCAAACCCTTGTGCCTCAAGAGGCGTTAAACATAATGCAATTTTCTGAAAAATGAAATTCTTTGGCTGCTTGATGTTTAAAAAAACCCAACAACCAATGGCACAGTGATGGGAGAAGGTTGTGTCTGTGTTTTTAAGTTTTTCTTTATTCTGCTTTTTTGCTGCTATAAGATTTTCTTGAATTTCTATTTTAAACTTTTCATGCATTTTACTGTTTCTAGTCTCAAAATGTGATATTTTTAATAAATGAAAAAAAATTTTCCATTACGTGAATGAAATTTTTAAGCAGATTGAGAGCCTATGTTTATGTCTCATTCGTATACTGGGAAAAAGAAAAAGTCAAATTTAAATTGTGAAATTAATTTTAAATACTAAGGAGCCATCTTCAGTCTGGCAAAACTACAGAGTCAGGCTCTTCCTCTACCCTTTCATTATTTCCGTTGTCGTTTTATACATAGGGAATTATCCATAGGGGGGAAATAAACATCAATTGGACTTAGAGTAGAAACTATTCCCTGACTGTTGCTGGGGGCTGGGGAAGGGGTGGTGCGGGACAGAACATAAACAAATTGGTGCAACCAAACAACTCCCTTGTAAAAGAGTAAGTGCCTGAAAAAAACGGAGGCGTCACCTATTGTCTATTCCAAATTGGCAGCTGGGTGAAATTCCTGCATGGCAATTGCTTCGTGCAGCACCACACACAGGAAAAAAAAAGCCCTTCCTAAAGATGGATTTTCCTCTAGGTGCAGGTATCTTGTTTGTAATATACCTCAGCAGCCACCGCCCAGCCATTAAATTGTGGAAGTGATTGGAGAGTATAGTACTGGAAAGTAGAATAGCATGAAAAACTTAAACTTTGTGGACATTACCTTTCTGTAATCAGCTGCTGTATCATTTTTGGAGGTGGGGGTACCCTGCTGTGGAGGTGTGCACTAACCAACCCTTCTCCTCTTCCCACCCGCGTGTTAAGTAGCAACATGAGCAGTATTTCCTACCATACTTCACTCCCAGTATTTTTTGAGATGTTTGTATAAAATGGAATTTAAAATCCACCTATGATTGTATATGAACTGCAGAGGAGCCCGTTTATTAATAAAACTAAAACCAACAGCAATGTTTTGTAATACCAGGGTGGGAGAGGATGGGGATGAAAACCAAAAACCAACCCAAATCCTGGCAAACGTTGTAAACTGCTTAAGTTTGACTTCCCTTTGGTTTCTCACCGATTGAAGTGTTCTGTTGCAGGAAGGTGTTTAATTGGATTTTCTCTGCTGCAAAATGCACTTCCAACCATCTGTTATGCTGTGTGAGTTCTTCAAAAAATAAGAGTTACTGTTACAGACATTGCACAAAACTTCTGGATTTAAAACAAAATGAGTCTTGTGTGTATTTCAGCCGATGCACCTAACTAGAGACACGTTTACCTGCCTTTCATGTGTCTGGCTCCCACCTTGTTTTCTGTCTGTATTTTCCCTTCCCAGCAGGAGCAGTAAGGGGATTGTGCTTTCTTTCCCAGCCATAGTGATGCTCTGCTCTAGGAAAAGAGTAGGCAGCTGCCAGCCTCATGCATGGAGTGAAATCCCTTTCAATAAAGGCTAATTCTCTTCTGACCCAGATGGAAGCTGATTGTAGGGTGTTTCCTAGGGGAGAGAAAGCAATACAAAGTCAAATATCCCGAAGCAGAGATGGATGGGAAAACATCAGCTCTCTCCATCACTGACCCTCAGTTCACAGCACATCACAGTCAGTGCCTGGGTAAGAAAGCTCTAAGCCCTTTACTGCTCCTGGCTGTCTTGGTTTGCTTTCAGAAATATGGTGCCTGGTGTCAACTTCTAAGCAACAGCACTGCCTAAAGCAAGCAGAGAAAAAAAAATCCAACACCCTTCTACAAGCAACTTTTTAAAACTCAGTATGGTCAATCTGTTCAATATGGGGTTTTGTGTGTGTACATATATACATATATATATAAAAAAGAGAATTTTGTACAATGTAGCTGAATATTTCTGTTTCCTTATTTCTCTGTAAGAAGTGTGAACATTTGTGTACTATACACTGAAGTCAGGGATAGCACAATGGGGTCTGAGACCAGCTTTCCTTCCCATTTGCCTCGTCAAAGGCATTTGTCATCCCTTTCTAGCACTCATTCTAGCATAATGTTTTGTTTTACGGGTGAGCTTTCTCTGTTGGAAGCCACTCCTGTTTAGGTTGCAGAAACCTTCAGAAAAGGTCTGTTAATCACAAATCCTCACTGTTCTGTTTTATGGACTAGAAAGCCAAAATCTTTGACTCTTCACCTTTTCAGAATTACTTACCGCTGGCCTAACGCAGCTTTCAAAACCACACCATCAGCATTTGGGTGATACTGTGGATGGACAATGTGCTCCAACTCTGCTAGCTTTGTGATGGAGTGTCCTAAACCCACAGTCACGTTCTTGAGGCCCACTTTCCATAGGTGCTGAGCATCTGCAGCTCCCACTTAATCCCAAATATTGGGCTTTCGGAGACCAGCTTTCCACACCCAGCTTGTCTGTTGGGTCCAAATGGCAAGTGGGAGTTTGAGACCTCAAAGGTTTATGTCGCTTCTTCCTGTGGTCTTGGTCAGGTGAGGGGGAAGCCAAAAAGGCTTGTTAAAATTGAGAGTCTCTCTGTTGATTTAGAAGATGAGCTGGAGACAGAAACACTTCAGGGATTCCTCACGCAGGACTGCAGTATTCATTCCTTCTTGGTAGGGAGCAGGAACCAGCCATTACTTCATTTCCACAATGGTTTTAGCTTTTAGCATCTAAACTGTCCTTGGGCACGAACTTGGGCATAGCGGGGTGGACTGAAAGGTCTTTTAGTCCTATCCAAACTAATCGTCTGCATTAGAAATACCACACAAAAGTGATCCATGCTCCCATACTGGTTTAAAATGAAGTTTTATGGCAAGTAGCAGTTGTCCTTTCCCCAGCAACCTCAGCTTTGTACTTAGTTATAATTCAGAACCTCTGTTCCTGACTTCTGCACACATACTTTCCTTGCAGTGTTAATGAAGATCTAAGGCCTGATTTAAACCTTAAGAAGGACCCTCTCCCTGTTGTATGGGGAGGTAGCTGACCTTAGCACACCCTTACCTAATACACCAAGCAGCAGCAGCAGGTGGTTCAGCTAAAACCAGGCCGCCAACATAGAAGAGCAGTGGTTTGTCACCCTGCTTGGTCACCACAGAGCTCGGATGTTCTGGGTGGTCTTCACAACCAAAACTGCCCGGTAGGAAGTGAAGTCGCGCACAAGATTCACTCAAGTTCACCTTGGCCTCAGAAGGAGTATGGTTTCAGCACCAAACACGTGCATTGGAAAGCCTCACCTACCTGATTTTGCACATTCCAAAAGGAGATGAAGGCCTTACCAGGGGCAGGGGGCCTGTTTTGTTAGAGACTGCAAATAAATGAGCCCTAAGCACAGAGAGGTTTGGGGTTTTCTGGTAGGCACTACTACTGGCTGAGCCTCTCCATCTCCCACTGAGAAAAAAGCACCTTATGATACACAACTCACCAGCTTTTTGTAGGATTACAGTAGTATAATCACGTACCCTCCATTTCTCACCCTTCACTGTTCAAAGGTGACACAAACCAAGCATCAGCCACGAACTCACTTAGAAACAATTTTAGAAGGAGATCATGAGGCTTTAGATCCAGTCACAGCTCTATGTGGCAGGGTATCTTCTTGACCACTTTTTGCACTGACACTGACTGCAGGTTTGCTTTTTAAGCAAAAACCAAAAATCGGAGCGGATAATGCAGGTACAGGCATTGCACAATGACAAAAGGGACAAAATTAACAACTTTGAAGAGCTCCTTCATCCTGAGAAAAAGGACTGTATTAAAGATTTTAAGAGACAATGAAGTTTGCTGGTTTGGCTGCGATGGAGGACGGTGGACTTCAGGAGTGCAGTTTCTTGGAGTACAGCTGAAAATCAGCATGAAGATAGAGAAACACTCAGGTGCTTTGATACCTTAGGTATGTGTTTGAGACAGCACTGATGGCAAAGCACACCAAGTGATAGGACTTTTCCTTTTCCCCCTCCCTCCCTGTGTTTAGCTTTCACAATCCCTCACCCTTTAAGTGGTGAAGGTTAGAGTGATCCTGGTAGTTGGTCTTGTCCTCATTGTTAAACAGCCTTGGCATCTACTGAGTTTGCATTTGTCCGTATTGATCTTTGTTCCGGAGCAAAAAACCAACCCAACAAGACCCCACAACCCTCACCTCTTTCCAGGTGACACATTACATGGCTTTGTTTTCCATTTTAACTTACTGCATTATGAGTTCGCTTTCCAAGCAGTTAAAGTGCTTGTGTGCATCATGGTAGCTAAATGTGCCCTTAGCTCACAAACTCACAGGCCGGACCAGCACAGTTGTGATGGGAAGCCAGGCTCCCCTTCCCACCCCATTCCACAGCGGCTATTTGGGGAGATCAGGGTGATTGTTAATCGGATTTCTTGCTTATGTGCTGCCTTTGCAGCCGCAAGGTCTGGCCCCTCAAGAGATGGAAATGCACTTGGAGAAGGGAGGAAGCTGATAACATTTTAGGGGGTTACATCTTGGTTTATGGAAACAGCTTAAAACTGGGAGCCCGTTGGGTGCTCAAATGAGGAAACTTGCTTGTGGTGGCTGGGTTTTTGCCTGTCCTGCTCTGGGCCTTCCCCACCAGCCCTGGCATGGGGATGGGGTAGGTCTCCCAGGCAAAAAGCTCTGTGAAGCCTGACAGTTGCCCCAAGCAGCCTGCCTGCAAGAGCAGCCTTCCACTGAGCCCTGAGCGACAAAACCTGAGTAACTTGCTTGTTTCCCACAGGAATAAATGGAAAGGATCTGCTTTTACAGAAGAATCTGTTTTTCTCTCCCTCTGAAAATCCCTTTTGGAGAAGGTGCCACGCCACGATGCAATTCCCCCATAATCAAACTTTGCAATGAAATACTGGCTGAGAAAGCCAATTCCCATTGAGTGGGGATGGCAGGGGGAGGACCTGCTGCCCTGCACAGACCCAGCCTGGACCAAGCAATGACGACAACTGAGGAAAGCAGCCCTGCTTTTCCTTGACCTTCGGTCAGCTCGGCAAAGGGAGCTCCTCAAAACCCGGAACTGTTCGGTTTTCCTTCCTTTTTGGAAAGAATTCCTTTTTGTTTTACTTTAAACACAAACACCCGCGCTGTGGAGCCAGGGTACTGCCCACACGTGATGGAGAGGGCTAAATCTCTGCTTGTTTCTTCTCACCTGTGTACTTACATTTCCTTCTGTTGGCAATAAACAGCCCTTTCGCAACCACTCTTGTCCACTGCTGTGGCTCCTGAGAACGGGAGGGAGGGGAACGTGGTGATCAAATGGGTGCTTCAAGCTTCTGGGATGCACTTCTGGCATCCTTGGTGGTAGGGAGGTGGCACAAATTGGAATGCCACCCTTCTGAATAGGTCCCCAGGCCTCAGACACCCACCACCAGCATGGCCAAGGCTCATTTTGAGATGATTAAGTAGATTTTGCACTGGGTTGCCCTTCAGACCCTCATCGCCTTGGTCCATGTGGCCAAAGGACATCCTGGGGTCCCTGCAGGATGCCTGCATCCATCAGCTGGTCACTGGGAAATCTAGTATTTCTCCTGTGCTTGCAAAACTGCAGAGGTCAGACCCCATCCAACTCCAGCATCCCATAGCACAGCCAGCTCCTGCAAGGAGGTATCGGGAAAAGGCAGAAGAACTTGGGGCAGAGGAAAGACAACGCATTAGGAAGAGCCCTGAGGCAAAGCAGCCGAGGGCTTCATGGTGCCACGGTCCAGTCTAACTCCTTCACCCCAAAGAGCCCGATTTTTACACAGATCCACACAGAAAAAGCTGCCGCAGCCACAGGGGAAGCACATTCATCCATTTATTGATGGCATGCCATCGCGCACAGGAAAAGTGCAAGCACCCAAAACGGAGGGTGACAGTGGGCACCCAAGGGGAAAGCCTTTCTTTTGGAGGAGGGAGCAGGGGAAGGCTCCTGCCCCTCACCAAAACCCCGGGAGCAGAGCAGGTGCTGGAGCTGTGCCACAGAACCCAGCTGGTTACTGGTCACTGAATTCAGAGAGAGGGAGCCTGCGCCACCGCTCCGCTTCCCGCCGCTGCCGCACCGCTGCTGCCTTCTTGGTGACGTTCCTGCAGGTTTTGGGGGAGGAAAGGAATGAAACCAAAGCCATCAGGAGGAATGGGAGCATCCTGCCTTGATCCTTGTTGTCCAGTCACTGGGCGTCACGTACCCCTGTGTCAGCTTGAAGATGAGCAGCTGGATCCAGGGTGCCTCGGGGGCCACACAGACCTTCTTGTTTTTCTTCAGGGTAAGACTGCAAGGTGATGAGACCCACTCAGCCCCACACATGCCTCTGCCCCAAAGTGTTCCTCACCATGCTGCTGTCTGCAGAGAAAGCCCCTCTCACTCCCTATGGGATTATGAGCACAGCCTGTGACCCTTGCTGGGAGATGGATGAGGTGGCTTAGGCCTTGACCTTGGGTCACAGAATCATAGAATAGAATCAGACTGGTTTGGTTGGAAGGGACCTTAAAGCTCATCCAGTTCCAACCCCCTGCCATAGGTAGGGACATCTTCCACTAGAGCAGTTTGCTCCAAACCCTGTCCAACCTGGCAGGTTGCAATGAGCAGGGATTGCTTTGCAAAGCTTTCCACTTACATGATCTCCTTCCTCCTGCAGTGAATACCCGGTGGCGTGACATCAATGGCGAGGATCAGCCCCAGGTTGATGACCTGGGCGGTCCATTTGATGCACTTGCACCTCATGTTGGTCAGGAGGCTCTCCAGCGACAGACCTGTGCCCAAGAGCAGCCCACACACCCCCAGGCCTCAGCCCATCACCACCCTCATGTCATGATCTCATCCCATCACTGGTGCCCACGGGGACGTGGGTTTGTGTTAACGGAGTTTGCAGCAGCAAAGGCGACGCAAAGCTAGTCCCTCCCAGCACAGGCTCAAAGCTTTCTTGTCAAGCTCACAGAAAGGGCGTAGCTCCAAGGTTTGAAACTTAACCAGTACTTTCCAAACTAAACCCATTGCCCACCCACTGCACACTCAGATTTCACAGGGGTCTTGAGGAGAAGCAGCTTAAACCCATCAGGCAAATCCCGCCCAGTCCCCAGCATCCCCCTCTAGTTTAACCACCAAATTTAACTGCTAAACTGAAGCTCAAAGGTAGGCAAGAAACAAATCCGAAAGCTGAGAGAAGTCCACTCTCAGCCCCATTCAGTGCCCCAGCGAGGGGTTTGGAGGGGGACAGAGGGACACGCTAAGGTCACTCACCACCACCCGGCACCAAGTTGCCCATGAGCAGGGCCATGGCCAGTGCTGCCGGCAGCAGCCGCATCCTCACCCCCTGCCCTGAGCTGCCCTGGGGCTGCTTTATAGCCAGCCAGGCGGGGATTTCGGAGCCTGGGAAACGCCGGGGGGGTGGGGAGGAAGGAGCTGCCCCACGCTTCGACTTCCCTGCCACTGCTTCCCCATTGCACGTGGTGGCCCACACCAGCTCCCCATCAAAAAAGGCAAAAAACAGTGTGGCCACCTCCTAACATGTCCTTGCCCCATGTTTCTTGGTGGAGAAACAGCAGTGAGCCCCTCTCTGTCCCCCTGAGCACCCTCAAGCCTCTGGAATGCCACAAGAAGGAATGCAAGTGAGAGTGACCAAGAGCTGCTGCCTTTATTGGACCTGTTTGGTTGTGCCTGAAGGTGACACCCAGCACATTGGGGAAGGGTGGGGAAGGGGGTACTGGCATTTTCAAGGGCTTAAATGCATAAACTGCCAAGGAAAAGGGGGCTCAAGGCATCACTCAGCAGCATCATCGCCTCTGCACAAGGAGACAGCAGTGTGGGAGATGAGGACCAGTTTCAGGCCCAGCACATCTGTCTGTCCCACCAGCGGCAGCTTCCTCAGTGGAGAGCCTCTTTCTTCCTCCTGCCAAAAGCAGAAGCAGGGAGAAACAAGTGAAGACGGGATGCCACTGGTCCTGCCTGGAAACCCTTGTGGCTGAGGAGGGCTTACAGGTTAGGGAGGTCCTGCAGGAGCTTCTTCACCCAAGGGGTGTCAGGATTTACACAGACCCTCTCCAGGCTTTTTAGCTTAATCCTAGAGAACAGAGAGGAGCTGGAGCAGCCAAGCCCCCTGTGCTTCTCATCAAGGGTGGAACTGAAATAATTCAGGGAGGATGGGGGAGCAGAGGGCTTGTACCACCACCACCACCCCCCCTGCAAGAAGCACTTACACCACCTCGAGGCGCCGGCAGCTGCTCCCCACTGGCCGGACCTCGATGCTGCTGTATTTCCATGGTGGGATGAAGGCCCTGGTGGTCTTGGCACAGCGGCAGCTCAGGTTGCCATTGGCTTCTAAGAGGGCTGGATGGGCACACGGCTTGCACATCACCTGAAACCCACCACCACCCCCAGCACTCTTTCTTGGGCAACGCATCTGCCCCTATGTCCCACCACAATCACCACATCCCCTTGCATGAGAGCCCCGGAGGCACATCCGGATGTCGGGATAGGGGGATGTTGCCTCTGAGAATGTCTCCACCCTCCCCAGCATCCTCCAGCCCCATGCACTGGGAGCCTCACCTGCATCCCCAGGGTGGTGGGTCAGCAGCAGCACCCCCAACAGCAGGGCAGCCTGCACAGCCATGCTGGACCCATCCCCAGCACCACCAGCATCCCCTTATTTGAGCTGGGAAATAGGAGAAGTGAGGCGGTGCCGGCGGGAGGCCCCAGGGTCGGGGGGGTTTGGGGGTTTTGCCCATCGGGGGCCCAGGCTTCCTGAAACTGGTTCCATTTTCCCCTTTCTATAAAGCTGGATCTCGTAAAGATACTGGGCCTTTGTCCCAGTGCTTGTCCCTAAGCCCATGCAGCTGCACAAGCCCCAAAGGTTTTTTAGGGTGCTTTTATGTTCTGCATGATCTGATATTACTCATTTCTTCTACAAACAGATTTTCCCCCAGCCTGGGCTTTTGTGGCATCTGCTTTTGCTCTTTCCCATCCCAAAACTCTGCCAAGTGACCCCACGCGCACCACCTCTATTTCCTTACAACAGCCTTCCAATACCTAAAGGGGCTGACAAGAAAATTTGAGAGGGACTTTTTACAAGGACATGTAGGGACAGGACAATGGGGAATTGCTTTAAACTGACAGAGGGGAGATGGAGATTAGACACTAGGAAACAATTGTTCCGTGTGAGGGTGGTGAGGCACTGGCACAGGTTGCCCAGAGAAGCTGTGATTCAGAATCACCAGTTTGATTCTATAATTCTTATTGGCCTTTACTGCTTTCAGGTGGCTTTCAACTGCTTGCAGACCCCAACCCCATCGCCAACGCTGGTGCTTGCTGGTGGTTCAGGGCTGGAACACCCCTCTCACCTCCCTTTGATGCCTTGAGCAAACCTTTCCCTGCTCCTGTCTCATTCCTCAGCGTAAAAGGGCTGTCATTGTGCCTGCAATGCACCTGGGTGCTGCCCTCACTCCTCTACCTATAGGACAGATACCTCACCTGATACATATTCAAATGCACTTTTTAATGCCTATGGTATATCTATGAAAGAGCATCAACACGAGTGCCAGATGCAAAAGATGAGCTCCAGGAAGGCTACGGCAGTGGGGTTTATCAAAGCTGGGAGATTACAACAAATGGAAAACACCCTGAATTTTATTTGACTTGAGCTCTCACGCCAGGACATGCCATGCTGTGTAACAAAGACCACAGACACACCGTGCCAATGAGCGCTCTGCATGGAAAGAGTCACAAAGTTGTTCCTACAGAGGCAGGAGCGGCCCCTTCGCAGTGTATGGTAGAGTAAAGAAATGCAGGGTTCACATTCACGTTCATCCAGGGACTGAATGCAGAGGGGAAACACCTCCAGAACCTGCCATGGGGCTGGGTCATCAGCGAACTGCCCTCCCTGCAGCGGCTGCTGCTGGGGCTGGACACGGGACTTTCGGGACAAGGGAGGGAAGGAAGGGCGAAGTGGGGAGCAACCAGGTTCCTGTGCATCATCTGCCAGCGCATCTCAGGGCTCTCAGCGTCAGCTTCCTTCACGGGAAACTTATTTTTTCTTCCTGTGAAAAGCAGAAGGAGGAGAAACACGTGAACACAGAGAAATCGAAATCGGGTCCTGGGGGAGGAAGCTCCTGCCCCAGCTGAAGGAAGTTATCTCTAAGGACCCTTCCAACTCTGACCATTCAATAATTCTATGACAAGTCACCACCATGTCCCCAGGGCAGGCATCATCGAAGGGGGGGATTTAGATTAGACATTAGGCAGAAGTTCTTCCCTGTGAGGGTGTTGAGGCGCTGGCACAGGGTGCCCAGAGAAGCTGTGGCTGGCCCATCCCTGGCAGTGTTCAAGCCCAGGTGAAACAGGGCTTGGAGCAACCTGGTCTAGGGGAAGGTGTCCCTGCCCATGGGAGGGGGTTGGAACTGATGAGCTTTAAGGCCCTTTCCAGTAGAAACCATTGTAGGATTCTGTAATCACTCATGGGGATGTCTCCTCTCAGCTGCCCCGACTGTGCCAAAAACACAGGCATGACAGAGGACTGTGGCTTTCCCAGCCAAGTAGCTACACACTGTTGCACTTGCAATAAGCAAATCCCAATCCTGTCATTCCCTCCCCGGTATTTTTTTCTTTTTGTGCCCTGTGAGTGCTCTCCAGGACCAAGGATAGGATGGGATGCTGTCCAGAGCCACCTGAGCCAAAAGAGTTTTCATCAATGCAACTTACGTGGTAGCAATACGCTTCAGCAGCTTCTTTACCCAAGGGGCATCAGGATCCACACACACCTTTCCTGAGGTTTTCAGCTTAATTCTGAAACACAAGGAGTGTTTATGAGTGTTATCCTTCCCTCCAAAGGCAAGGATCCGAGCAGCCAGGGTTGATCTGCAATGCTCAGCTTTCATTTACAGCACCAGCAGGTTGCAGGAAGCCACAGGATGATCAAGAAAAAGCAAGATGCAACACGTTCTCATGTGAAACATGTGCTTCAAGCCCTAAGGTGCCTGTTCAAAGACTATTTTCTCTGTAGGTTCATAAATGTACCGGTGCTGAGCAGTTAAAACAACCTGATGCATCTGCTTAAGACACCACTTCAGTCTGGATAGGAGTAAAGACACAAGGGCTTGACCCAAGATGCAGTTTACTCTCTGCTCTCATACTGGTAGTGAAAACATTGGTTATGGCTCATCCTGCCTTAGTGTCTGAGGATGCACTTCCTCCAAACTGCAAACAGCCCCCACCAGCATGAGGAAATCACATTCTACCTTGCTGGAAAGCTCCATTCAGGTCCTGAGGACCTCTGGCATGTCAGTCCAGTGCATTTCCTCCACCAGAAATGACCTGATGTTTCTCAGCCCCGAAGCATGAGTGAGCTTGAAAAGCCTTGGTTTAGCAGAAAGGGATTGGAGGAGCAGGGTGGTTGCAGCAGAAAAGGTGCAGTGCTGGCCTTGATGCTCCATAGGAGCCAGAGGAGACAGCTTTTCATCCCATGAGCCACCACTGGCACTTACATGATCTCTGTACGCCTGCAGGTGCTCCCCACGGGTCTTATCTCAATGCTTTCATATCTCTTTGGACTAATGTAGTCTGAGGTTGTCTTTATGCATCTACAGTTCAGGTTTCCATTCACCTCCAGGATGGCTGGGAAAGAGAGAAGGTAGCAGTTTACAGAGACAGAGTTATTTAGAGGTGCCACAACTCCAAATCAATTAGAGACAAAGAAATTATCACTCCCCGTGCTTTCCCTGACAATGCTTTAGGGACCATGGTAGGAAACTGTTATCTGTGACTCTACCTCAGCACTCCACTCTCACACAGCTCCTGAAAGCTGAACCTAGCCAAGCAGGATGGTCACACTCTTTCTTCAGGTATGAGAAAAACCCTGGGTTAAACAGGATGTCTCTGTTTCCCCGGGTCCCTTTAGGCGCAGGATGCAGATGAGCCCATCCATCCTGAGGACCATGGCAGCCTGGGAGTTGACCACCATGGGTATCTGTAAAGACACCAGATGCTCACCTGCATGGGCTAAGTGGGACATCATCAGCAGCATCAGCAGCCATGGGAGCACTGGGGCTCCCATCCCCATCCCAGCTGGTGTTCGCATCCTCGTGGCAGGCTCAGCCCTGGAGGAGGTCTGAGGAACTGGGTGAAAAACCCCCCTATTTATTCAGGAGGGTTGCGCTCTGACACAAGCAACAAGATTCAGACTTCATCAGTCACATCTGACCAGTGGACCATGAAGAGAGGTGATGTAATTTCTCAGATGCCTCCCACAGCCAGGTCGGAAACCGAGTTTACACCATTGCCGATGAAAACCAGCCATTGGGACAAAGTGCCTGTTTGGAGTACCCACATCACCTTCCCTGCACCCTGTTTCTGATCCGCTGGGTCTGTCCAAGCATCACCCTTCTTTCCCGTTAGCATTCACCCCTCAACCACACAAAGACCCCAGAATAAAAGGAAAGCATAAACCCAGGGCAAGCAGGGTTTTTTCACTGCACTCAGATATTTACATATATCTTTCTTAGGGCTATAATTCCCCCACGCTATTTTTGCTACCTCTTACATCAGCAAAATTGCCTAGCAGTGAACCATGGAAAAATAAAGATCTCTGCTACATGTTTCCACTCTGACCCTTCAAATCTTGCTTGCACAGTGACATACTAAACACCAGGAAAGTCAAGAAATGACTGGTATAGTAGCACCAGGAAAAAGCAAGTTATTCTTATGTCTCTGCACATCTGTGGCTGAGTGCTGATGTACATGTCAGTCAGCAACAGATTTCTTGGTACCAGCAGCCTGGGAGTGAAGCATGGATCGGTGCCAGAGAATAGCAGCAGGAAAAGCAACAGGGCTGGGATGGACTCAGGAACTAATGAGAGCAAGACCTGAGCAGTACTGGAACCAGAGGGAGATCTTATTTTGCTCTATTTAGCATCCCATTACAGCACTTGGGACCTGAAATAGTTGGGGCTTAGTTAGAAGTGTCCTGACTGCCCACTCTTTCAAGAAAGATCAGCTTTTTATGATGCTATGAGCTATGGGACACAGTGTGCTATGCAGCCAGTGAGCCAGTTCAACATCATTCTGGTGTCCCCGACATAAGAAGGTCATGGAATTGTTGGAGCAAGTCCAGAGGAGGGACATGAGGATGATCAGGGGACTGGAGCACCTCCTGTATGAAGACAGGCTGAGAAAGTTGGGGCTGTTCAGCCTGGAGAAGAGAAGGCTGCGTGGAGACCTCATAGCAGCCTTCCAGTATCTGAAGGGTGCCTATAGGGATGCTGGGAAGGGACTCTTCATTAGGGACTGTAGTGAAAGGACAACAGGGAACAGGTTCAAGCTTAAACAGGACAGATTTAGATTGGATAAAAGGAATTATATTCTTCTCTGTGATAGTGGTTCGGCACTGGCACAGGGTGCCCAGAGAAGCTGTGGCTGCCCCATCCCTGGCAGTGTTCAAGGTCAGGTTGGACGGAGCGTGGAGCAACCTGGTCCAGTGGAAGGTGTCCCTGCCTGTGGCAGGGGGTTGGAACTGGATGAGCTTTAAGGTCTCTTCCAACCCAAACCAGTCTGGGATTCTACCATTCACAGCAGGGATAATCAGACGGTAGTGGGAAAACTGATTACACTAAAGCAGACATGTATGTGGCAGTGAGAAGCTGTAGGAGCATGTGGAAAGGCAGAGGTCAGACTGCGCACATCCTTATAGTGCTGCAGAACCACATGTCCACAAGGCTTTAAGGCTTTATTCTGGCAATGTGCTCCAAGCTTTACACACAAGGGAATAAACCTGTCCATTCTGGGGCACCATGGTCTGGCCCTTGCTCCTCCACACATTTCATAGCATCTTTTGGGTTTCTCTCAAAATGAGCCATTGAAGGACTGAAGCAAAGCATATTGGCACACAGGGGTTTAGTACTGTGAGACACCTTTGGGTCTCACATGGGGTTTAGTGGGATGTGGGCTGCCCTGAATAAAGCAAAGTCACCAGCTGGGAAGCAAAAGGGGAAGTGGGGACACATGGCCACAATAGCAAGGTGAGGAGGAAGGAAGAGGGCAGAAGAAAAATGATGTGATTGTGTGATTACATTGTAATTTGGAGTTTTCAAATCACATCAGCATTTTATAGAGTAGCAAAATGGTAAATGTCCAAAAAAGCGCCTTCCATTCAAACCATAAGCTCTCTGCTCCCCCTTTGAAACTTGTTTTCCCTCTGAGATAGGTCCAAAATTCTTGTCAAGAGCTTGTTCAAGAGAGAATGATCAAAAATGGATGAGGGAAGAGTTTAATTCCCTGTACATTGGGGTTGCAGAGAGGCCAGGGACAATTTGAATGAGCTACTGCCAAATCCTATGGAGGGAATGAGAGCCTGGCTGCTATGGCAGTGGAAAAGGAGGTGGCTTTAAAACTGTATTTTGTTCAATACTGACAGAGTTTTCAATTTCCCTGCAGAGAGCTGTTAGAGGGAGCCCAACCCAGGACTGGTTTAAATGGTTTTGCTGGGATGTGGCAGAAATCTCTTCAAAGGAAAGTCTGCACAATGGTGGGGAAGGCAGGGATTTACCAGGAGAGATAACAGGTCATATACAGCGTTATAGAGGCACTAGTTTCAACATCTTTCTGAAGTTCATGACTTCAAAACACTCCTCCTTTTACAGCTGGGGAAAACCGAGAGAAGTGAAAGCAACTTTCCCCAGAGATGCACAGTGGAGAGGACAGAGCTGGGGCACGCTCCAAGAGTGGCTCTTCCATGGCCAGGGGAAACCAATACCACTGCTGGCAGTGCTTAAGGAAACCAGTAAAGGAAGAATCTACCCCTGGGAGACATGCAATGGACAGGCCAAGATAACTTACGTGCAAGATGACACCCAGATTTGTGGCTACAGGGCAGGTGTCCACCTCCTGGCTACCCATGAGAGAAGTGGGAGCTACAGAGCCATGTTCAGGCTGGATGGATTTAGATAGGTGGCTTTAGAGGGGTCCTGGGCAATCAGTTCAGGCACAGTGACATCAGTTTCAACCTGAGGCGTGTGTTGGCAGCCAGACCAATACAAGACCCAAATGCCTCCTTTAGGGATGTGCTGCTCTGTGCTTGTTGCTTTATGCTCAACCCTGCAGTGCTTCTTCCATGAGAGTCATGGAATCATAGAATGGTTTGCGTTGGAAGGGACCTTAAAGCTCATCAGTTCCAATCCCCTGACATGGGCAGGGACACCTTCCACTAGACCAGGTTGTTCCAAGCCCCATCAGGGTGCTCATCAACTCACTTTGCAGCCAGGATGAAACCCACACGTCCAGTGGGTGGGAGGGCAGGAGTGCCTTCTCTTCCTCTTGAGCACCAAGGAAGTTGTCCCCTCTGCACAGGTGGCCTTGGCAGAAGCTCCCCTCCAAGTGGGAGAAGTCAACCCTGGGGTTGCAGGGAAGCAAAAGCCATGCTGCAACAGTGTCCCTGGCCTGGCCCATGGGTGCTTCTGGAAAGACAACCCAAAGCACAGGCTCAGCTCTGCAATTTCAGGTTGTGGGGTGGCATGAAGTCATTGCCTACATGGCTGTGAAGATGAACCAAGCATAACCACTGGTGCTCTTTCAGATGTACCCCCTTGATTCATACCTAGAAGCAGATTTTCATCGTGAAGCCCAGCCCTGGCTCCATCTCTGAAGTGATGCACTTGGGTTTCCCCCATCACCTGGGTAGCTTGGTGAATCCCCAAAACATTGCCTCAAAAGACATACATTAGCTAGTCTTCAAGCTGCTATGAGTTTCTGCTTCGGGTAGGAATGGTGAAATAAATGCAGAGAGAAAGGAGAACCTGTCAGAGATACTGTAATCCCAGGGTTTCTGAATCATCTTGGTAGTAGTCACAGTGGTTTCAATGTATGGCTACTGAGTACATTGATGGACATTGCGGTGTCTTACCAGGAAGGAAAGGCTTGCAGCTCTTGTGGGTAGCTAATACTTGTGCATGCTGAGCGGTCATTCTGAGAAGGGAGAAGGATCTAGCCTGTGACTATTTAAACTAACCACTTCCCAGATGCCAGTAATTCAGACTTCACATATTCATCTGTGGAATTATCCAGGCCAACCGAAACATGTTGGAACTATCCTAACAGCTTCTGTATTTCCTGCACCAGGAAATACCTTTGCAGGCAAGAGTCTGATTTGAGTCCTTTTTTAATTCTGTGATTTTTATTAGATTTTTCCTGGTTTCTTTGGGTTTTTTTACACTCACTAGAGCCTTCAGACATGTAGGTACCAAGGTACCTAAATCAGAGGCCTACATAAATGTGGTGCAAATACCTCCCGAAGGCCATGACTTTAAAGCCATTGGCTTCAAGCTGACAGAGGGGAGATTTAGATTAGATATTAGGAAGTTCTTTACTGTGAGGGTGGTGAGGAGCTGGCACAGGTTGCCCAGAGAAGCTGTGGCTGCCCCATCCCTAGTAGTGTTCAAGGCCAGGCTGGCCAGGGCTTGGACCAAGCTGGTCTAGTGTGAGATGTCCCTGCCTGTGGCAGGGGACTGGAACTGGATGAGCTTTAAGGTCCCTTCCCATACAAACCAATCTGTGACTCTGTGATTCTAGGACTGTGGCAGGGAAGAAGTGCTCCACTGTATGGCTTTGCTGTGCTTCTGCAGCCATTAAACCACTTACAACCATGTAATTTAGTGGCATCAAGCCATAGAGAGCCTCAGGCTAGTTCAGAGAGGTCAAAGACTTCCTTCAAGACACTGAAAAATAAGTGATCGTAAATGAGAGGGAACGTAGATGAGCCATGAGTGGAAAAAGGAGAAGAGCTCCTGTATTTTGGCAGAGGGAAACCAGAGGTTTTACACACCTGAGTCCCTCCTGAAAGATGACAGGAAAACCTGTCACAGCATCCCCAAATGTATGAGCCAAGGATGAGGGAGAACTTGGTCTGCAAGAGCGAGGCAGTTACAGACCATGTTGAGAGGTGAGTAGGAAATGACCTGAGCTGAGTGGAGGAGAAGCAAAACAAATATCAAAGAACTTCTTTCATGTTTGAGCAGGATGGACAAACCCCTCAGCCATGCTGAAACCACTGCGTTTGTTCAGAAAGGAAGCGAACTTTCAGCACACCCCTCCTGTTCCACAGCTCACAAAATGCTCCTGGCAAGTGATACGAAAACT